GTTACGTTTAAAATATTTTTAATTTTTTACTTCATAAATATAGCTTTTATAAAAAGGTAGTAAATTAAAAATTATTTATCAATTTTATTATAATTTTTTCACTGCGTTTTTATTAAGTAAGGTAGTAACTATTTTATTATTATTTAAATTTAAGTAGTCACAAAGGGTTAAAATATTTAACCTGTTGACCATCTAAACAAAATACTCCATATAAGTTTACTTCCAAATTCTTACATAAACAATAAAATGTCAGTGTTTGAGTCATTATTTTTTTAAGGTGCGACTCGCATATTTCATGAAACTATAACTATCTTGCAGTAATGATAATATTAAAAAATATAATATGTAATAACTTAAGTTCAAGCGAAACTATATTCAATGAAATGTTCATGTCTACTGTTAAGATGTAAAATAGTAACACCTTCATATTTTCTGTTTAGTATAATTTTATGTAATACGAGTCACGATACACACGTGTTATGTTCCTAATCCATTCATGTTGGGATTTAGGTACATTTTTATTAAATAAACAGCTTATATATTGAAATCACTTGAGCAATATATTGACTTGATATTTTTTTAACCACTGAATATTTCAATCAACAAAGTACTCTCGAGTGTCTACCTAATATTGTATAATAAATATAATATAATAATAAAAGAAAAAAATAAACACAAAACTTACAAGACTTTATTTTTAAGCTCATATTAAATTCAAACATAATGTCAGTTGTTTTTTTTTTTGTATTATTTTATTAACAGAGTACTACATTATATATTTATGTAACAACTTATGTGGAGACAAACGATTCCACTCCTTAGCAAATGATGATATTTAGAAAATATGAGAGAAGGCAAACATTCAAGAATTCATCGACTCAAACCTTCGTTATGTTATATTCTCATCCAGCAAACAGATAAACCACATACCGGTTTTCTGGCAAGGTTTGACCTATTTCCTTGTTACTTCCTTCCTTAATTTAATATTGCACAATTAGAAACTACAATTGCATGATAGTACTTTTTATTAATGATTGCTTGTGAATAAAAACTTATTTAAAGATTGATTTTTATTTTATCACATGTAATATCATAATTATTCGATTTATGTTTAAAATGTGCGGTATCAGCAAAATATTGAGGAATGTATAACCAACAAATGTTTTAATTACAGTTAAGTCAATAAAGTAATAGATTTTGTTTCTGTCTCCCCTAAACAATTTACCTCTAAGATATTTCCAGTAGTCTGCAAATTATTAAACAAGAAATTTAGTAATAATGAAAAATTAAATTTGTTCGTTGATTAATTACCTTTATTTGCTTATAAAAAATTTATTTAAAATCAGATATTTTTTACTAATTAATATTTTAATCATTGAATTCCCCCGCTCATCTTTAGGAATGATACAAGAAACAATGTTTTATTTACAATATTTAAATTCAACGTCTTAGTAAAAAATAACATTATTCATTTACCACCAATCATATTAAACTAATGTAATCTAACCTTCAATTTAATTTTTAATTGGTTGAAATTGTGTATTTTTATTTCAATAAATTAAAAATAATTATTCTATGAGTTATATTTATGCTTAAAAGGGCAAATAATATCTCGTTAGGCAAAAAATGCTATCAATAACTTGGCTTTAATCAGAATAAAAGTACATTGAATATCGATAATCATATAAATTTTTTTAAGAAAATAAATTATATTTTTGAACTCCAAAATATTAAATGACTTATTGACTTGTTCTTTAAGTATAGCGATAAAATATACTATTATATGAAAATAAAATTAAATATGTACGTAAAAATGACGGTTCCTAAGTTACTAAAGTATATTTACCTATTTATACGATAAACATGGTCAAAATATTTTTAGTCTATCGTTATTTTTCAATTATTAGTTTCTCTATATGCATTTTTAACTATTTTATTTATTTTTTGTGAAAATTCATCTTACAAACTTATATATGATGAAAAATATACATCTTCTTAATTATGCCTTTAATGTGTTGCAATACTATTTTTAAGTCAGCGGGTACATAATATAATATGAGCAATTTAAAAATTATAAACTAATTTAAGAACGTTGTTTTTAAATTAGTTTATTTTAAAGTACACTTTAAAATCTTTAATTTGATATACATTAAAAGTTGTCAGACGCTTCAAAAAATTTTCAAAAATTAAAAATAATATAAAATTTTGTTTGCATGAGTAATCTCGCATCATTCTTTTCTGTATCTAGGTTTTAATTGGAATTGATAGCATACCAAAAGGAAGCTTCCTATTTCTAGTTTACTTTATTGAAATTCTATTGAGGTCCACGAATTAAAAAAAGTTATAGCAGTTTTAAAATCCAGAAATAAATTCTGAATATGCCTTTTTTACGATTGTATAAATTTAAAATATTTTTTTCTTGAGTATTTTTATGGATAAACAAAAAAAATAAATTCTCAGCTAAACTGAGTTAGCTTTTCATCGAAAAAAGTTTAAAAAATATTAACTGATGTAAATATCTAAATATTGAAATTATAAACAAAAAATTTAGATAAAAATGTAAATTGATTCTGGGCTACTAACTTAGGGAACTAGATGTTGTTGGTCTTTAGCAGGAAGTGTGGTTCGAGGGTACAGTTCAATAAAATAATATTATTTATAATTTATAATTAAATTAATTCAATGATTGTAAATTTGCTGTGTGAATTTGTAAATTTGTAATGTGTTAACTAGTGTCGGCGCATTGCTCTTAGGATTTTTACCTTGAGTGCCGTGGGAGATTTTCCCACACGTTGCTCCAAGGATTTTTTGCTTTGAGTGGCAAAGGCAGTAGTAATTCAGCCTGGTCTGAGGTCTTTTGTGTATGCATACCAAATCAAAATGAAATTATAAGATCGTTATTAATTTCTGTGCTATTATTTTATCGATACCTTAGTATAAAGCTAATCTAAAAAGCTAAAGAAGGGGAAAACTATAATTACTCTTATCTTTTATTACACTGCTGTTAAAATTGTTGAAGAATTGCGTTGCGTTGACACATAAATTAGACTCTTATAGTAAAAGAACTCATGATTCATCAATAAAACAAGAACACAAGAGTTTCATTGGTGGCAGCAACAGACTCTGATGATTAAGTAGAAAAATGTTGAAAGGCGTGTAAGAGTAGGCTGAAGAAAAGTCATCAAAAGTGGAAAACAAGACGAGCCACTAGGAACTATTTATTTGACATTTTTTACATTTATTTTTCATTATGCATTATTTAGTACATGTATAATATAATTGTACGATCGAAGTGTAAAAACATGAGATATAGTGTTGTATATAATATTAAACAAGGTATATTTGATAATGGTTGTGATTCATAATATCATTTATAAGCTAACTGTTTGTTTGAATTTGGTCTAATTATTACAAATATTGATGGCGTATATTATAACAGTCGATAATAATTATAATTAAATAGCTAGAAATATACAGAACTTAAAACTTTAGCATTGTAACATTAAAAACGGATAACAAAAAACGAAAAATAAAACATAATTTTATTAAAATACAAAAAATACCATTATAATATCATTTTGTTATAGAATTAATTACCTTAAATTAAATGTGAGCTTGAACATATAATTTCATTAATTTTTGTAATTCTTTGTCATTTAAAACAATGTAATATAAATTATTTTTTACACATCAAAAACATTGTTAAGAATCTTTTCTTCCCTCGTTAGTCAAAAATCAGATACATGCATTTTATTGTTTTTATTATATTCATAAAATATATAATTGTGATAGAAGTTAAATATAATAATGTAACTTATTTTTAATAATTACAGTAGAGACTGATCAGTACAAGATGGTCCTCACATTAACGAAAATAACTATTTCCATAGGTGCAATTTAGGAGTCTAGAGGGTTTAAAATTATTGTTAATTCCTATAGAAATATTTTTAAAGAGAGGTAAAGACTAGTTAGATTCTCCAAACATTTTATTCGAATTACTTCAATAAATATTATTTTCTTTTAGTTACTGGAGTTATATTTTTTTAAATAAACTATGTTAAGTTCATCCAAACATATAACTATAACATATATATTATTATAATTATATTTTAATAACTAAAAATAGTCATATTTTGTAAGTACTTGTGACTAAATGCAAATAAATATAAAATAAAATTTGACTGGTAAATTACACCAAATTAGAATACGTGTCAATTATTCTTATCATTATCCTCAAGGTTTAGGAATTGTACTGCCCAAGGTACTTAATTTGGCCCTATCATAGAGTATTTCGATCATTAAAACAATTTTCTGTTTATTTCTCTCTTTTTTTTTAATTAGAATGAGCAAAAAAAAGTCTCTAACTCTATAATTCATATTCCTAGATAGTTGGCCAACATTTTCTACATTGTCATCCTTAGCATGTGCACCCATTGATCCCCTAGATGCGGTTCTGATTATCCTCAAATACAACTGAAATATAACATGTAATACTAATGTTTAATTAAAATGAAATTCAATAGTGCATTCAATAATTACAAAAAGTATTAATGAGTCATAATTTAGTTTCCTGAAGACTGAAATTATTTATCAATATCTAAAATCAGTATTAAATTTTACTAGAATTTTAATTATTAATTCATAATTAAAATTCTAAGTAATAAAGTAAAACAAATTTTTTCTTTTGGTAATATCAATGTTTATTTAAATTATACATAATGAAGCAGCGATTCAACAGACAATTACCATTTGACTTACACAAGTGTGTATAAATTTAAATACTAATAACTTATATTAAACAAACAATTTAATATCGGGATTTATTTTTCATTTGTTTTATAAAAAATATCATAGTAAAAATATAAAATTAAAAAAAAAATAGTTTCTTTATGTGAACGGATAATTATTTTATTGTTTAATTAATCACTAATACAAAATTAAACTTAAATTTTTTATATATATAAAATAAGGAATAATTATACATATTACACATATTACATATAGTCATAAAATGTTTGTTATAAAATAATCCTATAATATTAAAAAAAAATGGACGGAGATAGTGACTATTGAGGATCACAATAAAATTATACTACATAAATAGTTATTTTAAATATTGTAACAATATAAAAGTAAGAATATTATTATATATAAAATTTTTTTCAATTTACAAGCAGCCATATTTTCTAATTATATTCTTATTTAGACAGTCAGATCTTAATTTTTAATCATAATTACTTTATTGTATGAACAAATGAATATATAGAATTGATATTAGTATGGTAAATAAGCTTAAAGGATTAATAGCAGTGCCTGATGCTCGACAATCAACTATTCTTTTTGCTCGCAAAAAGTTTTCTCCTAACCACGTTGAATAATACCTTTTTGAACTGTCAATAGCAGCTAGTTGCTGTGTGGCATCTTGAAAAATTAAATCACTGTATGGTTCAGGTGAAGTAAACATACTGAAACTAAATTTAAAAACATTAATAATTTAATAAAGTAAAAAGTTAAAACTATATACATACGTAAACTCATCATTAGTCTTTCTACCATAAAGTTGTTGAGCAGCCATGAAAAGATTAATATAAGCCATTACTTCTGTATGGTTATATGCTTCACCTCCACGAGTAATAATGGCATTAGCTTTGACTTTACCCATATTACATCTTTTATAATTATCAATTGTAGTTCTGGTACCTATATTAAAAATTAAATAAGTTATAATCAGTTAAAATTTCAGATATTTTACTATCTTATACTACATTAAGAGAATTTCTTAATTAACATTACTTTATGTTTAAAATATTAATTATAGAAAAAAAACACTAAAATAAAATTGAAGACTTTATATCCAAACTAATTAAATACCAAATTATTAAAATTGATGTTATAATTTTAAAATTTTATCATCATACATAGGTTTGATTTTCCTGAAAGAAATGTCCATAACTTATTTCCCAGTTGAAAATTTAATTAATATGTAGTTCATCTTCAAAACTTATTCCATTCTATCAGATTGAGCAAGTAAGATTTTTATGTAGATTTAAACTTTTTGGTTAATAATTAGTTTTAGGAATAAGGACTTCAAATATTTATATAAAACATTTAACAATATATTTTTTTGATTTACAATCATTTTTGCCTTCTACACTGGGAGCATGGTGTTTTTTTCGCCACCGTAGAAGCGCACGCATGATCACCAATCTGTTCACCTATGGTGGTAGCGCGCGCTTAAAACTAGAGTTTTGTCAACAAATAGTATAACCACAGCGCCACACCACACCCTAACAGTATTAAAAATATTAAAATAGAAATATTTTAGATTAACTAATATCAGTACACTATATACATTTTAAGTAAAAAATATCAAACTAAACATTTTACAAAAATAATCATCAAAAAATACCATCTGGACACAGAAGTTCAAAGTCAAGACTTAATGTGTTTCTAGCCCACCATTGTTGACGTTTACCATCAGCATTTTCGTACACAGTAGTATGTTTAACAAAAGCTACATTTCCACCACCTTCAACTAAACATCTTAAGGCACCTATAAATATTACATGAAAAAAATTTCATTTTTTATTCATGTTAATATTAAATTACTATTTCCAAATGTATACCAGTATATCCATAAAAGTCTTCAGTAGCATCTCTTCTACAATAACGATAACTAGAACCCCTACATAAATGACAAAGATTGTCATATGACTGACCAGAATTATACTCATAACTTAATGCACCTGGCACACAAGATTTACTGAAATATTCAGAAGCAGCTTGCATGGAATTACATCCATAACTTCTCATCCAACCATTACTCAGTATGAAGGCCATAGGTATTATCCATCCACCTCCTGAATAGATACCAGGGTGACAAGTCGTTTTACCTTTAAATTAGAATTAAAATACTCATTTTTAATATTTACTGAAAAATGTAAATTTAAAATAAAGATAGCTAAAAATGTAAGTTAAGTTTGTAATAAATTTTAATAAATAAAATTCAGAAATTGTTAATAGAATCAACAAAATTTAATCTATGTTAGGAATGAACAATTACATATAAATTTACCTTTCAAGTAAGTTAATTCAGTACTGGGATCCTCTTCTTTTGCTACAGCCACAACGTAATATTCTGGTTCTGGTAGATCATACATTTCAGTAATAAATGGAATTTCATCATAATTTAATCCAGCTTCATATACATCACCAGCATCCATAACAGCAACATCAGCATTTCTTTTAATTAAAAATTATAACTTATAGTAAGTGAAGTATTGTTCACAAAATTTATTAAATAAAAATTACCCATTTCTAATAGCTTGCATACAATGTACTTGACTATAGCCTCTATAACATTGCATTTCTGGTACTAAAAGTTGAACTTTTAAAGCCATCTATGTACAAATATAGATTTATGTTTATTAAATCAATAATATTACTTTAAGTTTTCAAAAAAATACAGGTCAATTGTTACAAACAATGAGAACAATAGAAACCCATTCCCTTACATAATGAACACCCTACATATTAAATTACCTTCATTTTAATACATTTTTCCATTTCAGGCTCAGAAGTGACACATAAGGTCATTCTAGTAGCAGGGCAGTACCGAACACCAAGAATGACGTCTAAAGATCTTCCTAAATATTTTGAATAAGTTTGTTGTGATTCTTCAAAAGCTCTCAGTCCTCTAGATGAATCCTGACAAATATTTTTATTACTTACAAGAAAAGTAATGTTTATTTCTAATTTTAATTTATGAAGTAATTTCTTATGAATAACTTTTATTAGAAAAAAAAAAAGAACAATTTCAATTTTCATTTATTTGTAAATTAAGAAGTTATATTGTTCTTTGCACAGTAATTTTTTAGAGAAGTAATGATATTTTAAAAAGCAATATTCAAAGAATAAAAATTTTTTTTATTACCTGTAGCATTAGATTATGATGATGATCATATCGGGAAGAATCAAATAAATAAAATGTTTTATTATTAAAATTAGTGTTCGGTTGAAATGAAGAAGAAAAAGCAATATTCCAAGGAGCAACAGTAGTTAATGCTAATGTTTGAGGTGTTATTGACTTTCCATACAATTCAACAACTTTCTTAAAAAAATAAATTGAAATAGTAAAATACCAAATTTTATAAAATTATAAAACATAAAAATAAAGAGAAATATAATATAAATTTATATAATGTAGAAATAACATCTATAAATATAAGATAAAAACTATATACAGGGTGATTTTTTTATCATAACCCACTCAATAACTTACAGAATAATAATAATTAAAAATTTTTTTTTTATTTCTATCTTTAGTTACACATTATTCTTGAATTATTAACTATGTAATACTTTTTAAGTTCATCCTTTATGCCTGGTAAGGGTGTCAACTTTGTTTTTTTAAATGGTAACACATATTTTTAATTTAATAAAATGTTTGAGTTTTTAATTCAATAGTAAATGGCATTTGAATTTTTAATGAAACTTAATTTGTTTATTAGATATAAACATTTAAAGTTTCAAATTTTTGATTTAATATATAGGTATAATACACAAGGGATTACAAATACAGGTAGCTAATTGATTTTTTATGACATCGATATTAGCAGGTACACAGCATTGTTATTATCAATGATAGTAAGGTACATTGTTGTGAGTTTATAAATACACTAACTGACAATACAAAAAGTATATCTATTGATAATCATAAATGATAATAAACAATCCGTGACTGAGACAGCAATGTCATAAAAATCCAATTAGCTACCTGTATTTACAATCCCATGTGTATTATACATGTATAGTAACTCAAAATTTTGAAACTTTAAATGTATATATCTAATAAACGAATTAAGTTATATTAAAAATTCAAATGCCATTTATTATTGAATTAAAAACTCAAACATTTTATTAAATTAAAAATATGTGTTACCATTTAAAAAAACAAAGTTGNCATTTAAAAGAACAAAGTTGGCACCCTTACTAGGTATAAAGGGTGAATTTAAAAAGTATTACATAGTTAATAATTCAAGAATAATGTGTAACTAAAGATAATAATAAAAAAATTTTTTTTAATTATAATAATTCTATAAGTAATTGAGTGGGTTATGATAAAAAAATCACCCTGTATATATTATTTAATAATTTTAATATACTATTTAAATTTTGATTTGTAAGAAATTCATTTAATGGTCTTTAAAATTAACTGTATAAGAAAATAAAAATTTAACAACAATAAATTAACAACAACTCAATTTGTTTAATACCTGTAACCACTTTTGATACAAAATTCTCTGAGAAGATGATTTTGCTGATGTTGTAACAATAGCATCAGTGGGAGCAGGTCCCCAATTACATTGTTCATAGTCTTGTATAGATCGTCTAGAGCCATCCAAGCATAATAGCTCTAAATTTTCTTCTCTTGTTTGGACTAAAAATTATTATCAATAAGTATCCATTTTTTTTAAGTAACTGTACAAAATTTCTTACAAAATAAAGATTCGTCTTTCACCATTTCTAATACTGTACTGTGGCGTAGAAAAGCAATATCACCTGACTCTATTAAACACCTAAATGCTCCTTCATCTCCAGCATAAGGATCACTCCATGTACATTTTTGACCAGAAATTTTACTAGCACAAAGAATACATAGACGGTCAGAGTTGTCTCCTATAAAAATAAAATATTAAAGAAAATATTTGGAGGAAGTAGCAAAAACTTTTACAAAATGTAACCTCATAAAAATATCCAGAGCATAATATTTAAATAAACTAACATAAGAATTTCTAATATTAAATTTAAAAAAAAAAAGTTTTTCTAGAGCTACTCTTATAACTTATTTAGAAAATAGTTTTTTTATTTTATAAATTAATAAAATAAAATAGTAATGGTATTCAATAAGATAAAAAATTTAAATAATGCACACAACATCATTTGTAAATTTAAATTTGAATAGATCAATAAAAACAGTACCTTGAATTTTAAGAGCATATTAATTTGGCCTCCATCATTTAATAATACCTACTTTAACTCTCTTAATGGACTGCATTAAAAAGTAAACAATGTTATATTTTTCATTACAGCATTATTTAAATAAAAGCAAAGTCCACATTTTTTTACTCACCCATAGGATTGTATTTGTCTAGTAGTGAATTTATTGCACAACTTGGACCAAAGAAATCTATAGCAGTTTTAACATGATTATTACAATCAATTATTTTCATAAAGCCTTTGGATATAAGCTAAAAATTGTATTAACACATTTTATATGATTATGTATATTATTAGAACAAAAATCAATAACATACAGTGTTAATAGGTATATTCCATCCAGCTTGAGTGCCAACTCCTGCAAAACAAGCTTTCTTGTCTTTTAAATGGCCAAGGTTATAAACATCTTTCAATGTATTTCTTTTTATTAAAGCCACTGCATAATACTGATCTCCCCCATCTATAAGTTTTAAATATAAATATAAAAACATCTATGTTGAAGTAAGTATTAGAGTATACCAACATATCAATTATAATCAATATATTAACTAATTGTTCTAATACCTTCATAAAGCTGTTGCATTAACGGTATTAGACTGTGATATCGACCACCGACAAACACTTCTCCAGCATCTAAGCTTAAAATGTCAGCAACACCATTATCTAACATCACCATACAGTCTTCTTTATTACTGCCCTATAAATAATATAAAATATATGAATAAATATTAGATTCACATATAATTTAACAAAATAGATTTAATAGTTATTAAAACTATTAATAGAAATAAAATATTTTTACTGATAAGGTACTAAGGACATTCAATTAAATTGTAGAACTAATTCAAGAAAACTTGCCACAAATGGATGACCACAAGGAAGTCAAAAACTTAATATGTTGCTTATTATAAAACTAGATTTTTTTTTAAGAAAAGCTGATTCATGTTTGGTTGGAATAATAAAAATTTACATTTTATAAATTACTTAAATTAATATAAAAAAATATAGTAATAGAGTTACAGTGTACCATAATTCATTCAATTTAGTAAAATTATTTTCAGGATTTTTTTAATTTTACATAATTTTCAATTTATGAGTTAAGTATTTTTTAGGTCCACTTTTTATACTTTATAAGTATATTAACTAAAGTTTTTAAACAAAAGCATACATATTTTTCATATATTTAGATTTTATTAGGTGAGTTAAGTTTTTTATCAACTATTAAAATTTCAAATTATGTAATACAAAATTAATACAACCTTACATAATTATCTGATAAAAATATACTTTTTAAATTTATTTTTAGACAATTTATGAATTTAATTTAATTCTAATTCATATTGAATTTCACAATAGAAAACAATTATTTAAGAGATGTTAATGGATAAATAATTAGTTAATATAGAAATGAAAACTTTATAGGCGCAACTGAAACAAAAATGCTGTGGATTCTAAAATTAAGTTATACTTACAAACCAGTATGGACAAAGTCCCCTTACTACCAAGACACATTTCTTAAATAATTATTTCTAGGGCTATTGTAAACTAATAAAGAGACAATTTTTTTTAATAATTAACTATTATATTTGGTTCGTCTCGTTATCATATTTTTAATTGTAAAAATAACCACAAAGATATTTCAAATTGTATAAAAAAAATTCTTAATTGCTTATTTATGATAAAAAAAATCCTTATTAAAATAGAGAAAGTCATTTTCACAAAATTTATAGTCAATTAGGACTAAGGAACTGACTTTTGACTTCAAGTAAATTTTAAAGCTATGGGTTCTTGCAATATTTAAGTAACATTATTATATTAAAATCATAGTCAAGTTTTATGATTAATAATAACAATATCACACATACCTGCTTACAAACAAGCTCCATAAAATCTCTAGAGTAGAACATTTGTTTATCCCTGTTTACTGCTGCAGATAAATTTAAGCATTTTGATTGTTCTTGAGTATTTATTGTACACCATGCTATATGATTACTTCTTTCATTGATAAAATCACTTATAAATGCTAAAATAATAATCAAATTTAATTAGAAAAGCAAAATTAAATTAAATTTAGAAAAAATTAAAAAATATTTTATCATACAATATTATTTACGAAAATCTTACAAACCATTCATAAATGCAACTTGTAAGAATATTAAAACGACAGTTATTAAGTGATTTAACGTTTTTAACGAAAACATTTTTTTTTTTTATTTCTAAAAAATTTACTACAACTTTATAAACATTATAATAATGTAAAACTATAAACTTCAGAGTATAATTGACAATTGATAAATTTACTCAATAGGAGAGAATTTCAAAAATTCACTCTTAAACGCTTACTAAACTTTTCATAAACAATAATATGTAATGTGATAACCGTTTATTGCCTGTCTTCTACAAGTGGGTGCGGCAACCCCACCCAAAATATCATGGATAAATAAATGTCTATGTTATCAAAAGATATTTTTTATTTTAATTGATAACAACTTAATTGAAGAGCACGTTATGGTAAATTTTTAACAGGATTTGAAAGAATAAAAATTTATCAATTTAAAAAAATGTTTTTGTATTTTATTAAATGAAAATTTGTTTTAATTGAATAAAACACAATTAAAAAATGTCAGTTTTAATATTAAGGAAATGTGATATTTTACTTAAAGGTAATTTTCAGATTAATATAACGCTATTAATATTTTAAGTATAATATGTAATGATCAAAATTAGACATAAATATTAATAAAATAGTTGAAAAATTTTTAAAGACCATAATTTTCAATATTTATATATTTTTATTTTTATATTCATCTTTAAAACAAAAGTATACTATTAAATTGTTTAATTGCAATATATTGTTATTTGGGATTTCTTTTATGAGTGAAGTGTAAATGTCATGTAAAGTATGTAAACAATGTAAAGTTCATGTAGTTATATTGTTTTTTACAGCAAATTTACTACTTCTTGCTCACTCAAAAAATCAATTTCTGAGAAATTAACAAATGGCTTCTCAATTTAGGCAATCATTTAAAGTTGTGGATAAGGCTCTTTTAAGATGGTTTCCTGGTCATATGGGCAAAGGAATGAAACAGATGCAGCAAAAACTAAAATCGGTTGACTGCATTATTGAAGTTCATGATGCTAGAATACCATTATCTGGGCGTAATCCTGATTTTAAATATACTATTTCAGGTGTAAGACCTCATATTTTGGTCTTAAATAAAATGGATTTGATTGAAATGAAGTATCAAAAAGCTATAGAAAAGAAAATATTAAAAGAACAAAATGTGTCTAAGGTGATTTTTACTAATTGTAAGGAATCATTATGTCCAGGAATAAAACAATTAGTGCCTACAGCCCAGAACTTAATTAAAAATTCAAATAGATATAATCGTTCCGAAAATAAAGATTTTTGTATCATGATTATTGGTGTACCTAATGTTGGAAAATCTTCTTTAATTAATTCTATTAGAAATGCGTACTTAGGAAAAAAGAGTGCTGCACATGTAGGAGCTGTAGCTGGTATAACTAGATCCGTTCAATGTCAAATCAAAGTTAGCCACAATCCATTAATTTATGTATATGATACACCCGGAATAATGTCACCATCAATTAAAAATGTTGAAACTGGATTAAAATTGGCATTGTGTGCTACATTAAAAGATCATTTAGTTGGAGAAGAAATAATAGCAGATTACTTATTGTATTGGCTTAACAAAAATAATCATTTTGACTATGTTAGTTATTTGAACTGTGATGAAGCAACCGACGATATTAGAATTGCATTAGCTAAAGCTGCAATACATCGTCAATCTAGTATTAAATATCGAAATTTTGATGGATCATATATATATCGTCCAGATATACTTGGAATGGCTAGAAATTTTATTAATGCATTCAGAACTGGAGTATTTGGGAAACTAATGTTAGATGAAGATTTACTTGAGTTTTAATTTTTAACTAGTATTTGTTTTAAGAAAAATTTTTTGTTCACATAAATCATGCAATTATGTTTCATTTTTAATTGTTTTTAAATATAAACTTAAACATAAGAAAGAAAATTTTATTTTATGATAGGTATTTTATATAAAAAAAAACTTTGTTAGGTATTGTGTAGTCCACAAAATGTATTTAATTTAGTCAATCGTTGTCAAAAGTGCTGCTAAATATGAATTTGATAATGTGTTGTAAAAAATTTAAATAGTTTAAATTAAATAAGCTAAAATTTATAGTAAAAAATTAAATATATTCAGTTGCAATTTAACCATGAAGATATTTATTTCAAAAATATAGTTTAACAATATTGACCTTAGATAAAATGATATCAATGTAGTACCTACTGCATAATATTAATCATCAAGGTCAATTTGTTGTTTTGAATGTTCTCAAATTTAACTTTACTTACTATAGTTAAATTATTATATTTTATTATAATTTATAGTACTACTACTATATATATAACTGTATAATTATCTTATATTCTGCTTCTGCTTTTACTAAATTGTATGCAGTAATGGTAAAAAGTTATAAAGTGAATTAAATTCATTTTTACATTTTGTTAATTTTATGTTAAATATTCTTACTATTTTAATACACAATAGATTTTTAAAAAGATTGATTATGATGCACTTAATGTACACATAACCATTAAATTTAATGATAATTTATGAATGGTAATATAAAAGAAAATTACCATAGACGAAATGAATATCAAGTTTGTATATCTATTAAGTATCTACAATTTAGGTGGAGCTTAAAAAAAATTTCCGAGAGCTAATTATAATTTCCACCACGTAAAACATACTTTTAAAACTTTATAAAAATTTATCATGTACATAATTTTTTGAATTTTCAGTGCTTATAAACCCTATGACTCAAACTACGGTGTAAAAAAAAAAATAACGATATACTTTTAATTAAGCAACTGAAATATTGATTTAAGTATTGATTGATACAGTTCTTATAATTTATTGGCATAGATTAAACTTTTTCTATATATATATATATATGTATATAGAATAATAATATGATAATTATAACCTAATCAATATAATATACTAATATACTTACGAAATAAATACAATATTTGAAAAAAAATGTTTTGATTTCTTTCAGTTATATATGCTTCATGATTTTTAATTTTTTAATTACTTTTTAGCATTATCCGCTATGACTTTATTTATTTTTAATGGCAACGTTTATATTACTAAGCTTATATAATATGAAATTATCTAATCAAATAAAAGGCAGATGGAGAACTTTTAAAGTTTATAACATTCTTATAACCCAACGGGATAAGTTAATACTCACGTCTCTCCACCAGTTTATATCCTAAAATCATTATAACTTTTGAACTATAGATCCAAAAGTTGTTATCGACCTGTCATTATCTTAATTATTATATTACTTGTCATTATTTTAGAATATTTCGTATTATATATGATAGTTTTGTATGTTGGCATTAAAAAAAAAGAAGTTTACATCCCTGTAAGTCATAAGATAGTTATTGTATTTATTTTGCTATTAATTGATAAATGGATCTACAAATAGAAAATTGTAGTTCTTTTTAAAATTTGTTTTAGTATCTCTGCACATTTATAAAAGAAAAAAGTAGGTTGATGATGTTACATGATTTTGATAAAGCACTTGACTATATAATTAATTTTTAAAAATTGATATATTTTACAATATGAATGTTTTTTTAGGAGTAAGTATCAACGTAAGCCACATACGTCATATGGCGAGGTTTACAGGTCGAGGTATAAACAGATTTAATCCATGGACTAATTTACACAAAATGCAAGAGCAAAAAAAATCCGAAACAAAAACAGACAGTCAACTGATGCAGAGCAGTAAGGTAAACCCTTTAATTGCACAATGTTTCACATGCATTATTTTATTGTGTTTATATTGCACTAATTTCAACTGTTTTAAATTTGTTTTTTAGCATTTAGTAAACATCCCTAATCCATACGAAAAGGAACAACGTGTGTGCATACTTTGCAAGATGAACATCGTTCCGGATTACAAAAATACCAGAATGCTATCTCAGTTTATATCTCGGTTTACCGGTCGAATTTACGGCAGACACATAACAGGACTTTGCCGACATAAACAAGATCATGTCGAGAAGGAAATTAAAAAGGCTAGAGAAGCAGGTAATAAAGGATCAACATATTTTTTACTTAAATTTTTATTAGTTCGAAAATGTAAACAACCATGTTATAATTTCATTCGTAATCTAAACCTTTGCCGTGAACAGTAAGTAACAACGAACCATTTTTATGCAATCAATTAAACTACACAATTTAAATAGAACTATGTGTCTGCAAATAAAAATTAAAAATGTTTGTGAATGTGTATGTGCCAAATTTTTGAAAACTTAATTTGTATTATATTAACGGCTTATTTTTTTAATTTCAGGTCTTTTGCCACATTACTTTAGAAATCCGGAATTTAGTCATGATCCAAAGCTCTTCGATCCAGATAATCCATTCAGGCCTCATAATTATTAAACCCTATGTTTAATTTAAAATAATAATTTATATATAGGTGTTCAGTAAGTAAGGAAACAGGCTAATTGTTACAAACAACAAGAACATAGAAACCCGTTTCCTTACTTACTGAACTATCTGTAAATTAGTTTATTATGTGTAATAATACAAAACCTACGTATGTCAAATATTTTTTTAAATTTTATTTAGACTTACAAGAAAAAAATACGAGTGATATATTAAATATAGCAATTAACAAAAACTTTGATTTGTTTTTTAATTATACTGTTTTCGTAAAATCTTTACGAATTAATATCCAAACTAACATAGTCGTATTTCGTACTGAGGTAGAATACCATTAAGAAATTAAAATTTAATGATATTCCTGAATTAAATGAATAATTTGTAGATATAAATTTATCGCAAATTGGCCCAAAACTTTTATCACAAACTATTGATACGTAAAATATAAAAATCATGTTAAAATTGTTTAAAATTATTGTGATTAATTATCACACATGGATTATCATCAACACCATTCGTACCAGTAGTTATCTAGGCTTGGGCTGACTGTGAGTCGTGTCAATAAATACCTCGAGTAGTATAGGAACCACAAGTGGGCTCTCCTCTATCTTCGCAAGAGAGTCTTAATTAGTATTAACTACACAGGTAACCCACTCGAAGATTGGACTAGACTAGCGAACTTCGTACAAAAGTTATTGATTCTCTTATTTATTTAGACAATATTTTACTCTAGAGATCACTTAATTTTTCTGGCTCCCTACTTAATTTATATACTCATTATGCTTAAGTTTAGACCTTATAAATCTTCTGTAAAATATGAATTTACCTTAATGATGCCAGGAATAATGTTGGTAAAATGAATATACTTCAATTTTCTATGTAAAATCGTATTTTGTCAAACCACTCCTTGCATTCGTTAAAAGTTCATAAGGTGAAGTAGTAGTGAGAGAGATTTACAGTATTTATGTCATTTATATTAAATTTAAATCATCTATATATGCAAGAAGTGTCACGACCTTTTACTATTATCTGTGTATTACTCAATTGTGTTATTTATTACATATTATTTTACTTAAAATAGATAATTTGTCACAACTAAAGAATTTCTTATAGCTATTACATTAGATTTGTGTCAATGTATTTTTAGACATATTTTTCGGAATAGTTTAAAATATTAACATGAATAATATATTTTTAATTTGATGACTAATAAACAATAATATATAGACTACTGAACAATGAGTGGTGTATGTATTATAACAATATTTAGGTCCATTATAGATTTAATCTGTCAGTGNAACAATATTTGGGTCCATTATAGATTTAATCTGTCAGTGATTAAAACCACTATTATAAAAAACGCTTCCAAGCAATTCTGTAGATAGTGTTTAATTTTAAAAAATTGGCGGACTATTCCAAAAGCAAAAAAATGNTATTGGTGGACTATTCCAAAAGCAAAAAAATGATCTCCTTTTCCTTATTTAAATCCTTATTATTCTGAAGTTTTATGATTTATTAGTGTAATATATGTATAAATATTTATTATAGCAATTAAATATAGTATGAAATTGATATTTAATAATTTAGTATTGTAATTTTTACGGAGAAATTATAAAAAATTATAAAGTAGTTATTACTATTATGGCAAACGTATATAAAAGTTGAAGGTCTTGATGCAATAATTAAAAAAAAAATGATTTGTTACTTATAAATAAATTTACTGGTCTACAAGGAATTTTCATCCAAAACCAAAATGTACAATTCTAAACCCCTTTTTGCACCGATTTTAAATCTGCAAATAGTGTTTCACATATGGCCTCAATAATAACAAAATCTTTCTTATTAATATAACAAATATTTTTGTTTCCTTAGGTTACGTATGAATAATCAATAAGTATATTCTAATTAAAAATAAGTTGAAAAAATCTACTTTCTAGATGCATTTATGTTATGAACCACTACTGTATAAAGAGAAATGGTCAGATTTAAAAAAAACTACGTCGAATGAAAGAGGTATATAAATAATATTTCTCATAAAAAATGTTATTGATCCATACATTTTTCAAAAGTTACAGTATTATAAAATTAAAAATGTAAAATATAAAATCGAGAATTTTAACACAAAAATAGCATACAGTAGCCATTTTCACCGTGAAGACAAAATAAAGTTCGATATTTTTTTCTTCCATAATAAAGAATATTACATTAGATTTAATTTAAGATCTGTATAAAAGTATCAGTATTTCTGGAACACTTTCAAAAGTTAAGTTGAAAAAGTTGTCATTTTGAATCTCCCCTGTGGGAAAGTAAAAGATCAGATTTAAAAAATATATATACCAAATGAACGGTACAGACATCATGCATTTATATAAACAAAAAGAAATTATATTAAATAGGTNAAGACATCATGCATTTATATAAAAAAAAAGAAATTATATTAAATAGGTTATTTTTAAGTAAAAAAAATTGAAAGACTCAAAAAGTTACGATTTTTAAATTTATAATTTTTTGGGGGATTTCTCCAATTTACGGGGAACGAGGGAAATTTATTCAATTTGTAAGGAAAACGTCTTCGACTTGATTTGATTTGTGATCTTTTGACGTATCGTTCAAAGAAATCGGTCCAGAGAGAGCTGAGAAAAAGTGTTAAGAGATACGAAAAAAAAACATATGATATTAAAATTAATACCTTCTCAGCTTCGCATCAAAGCTAGAATAACTATAGATAAAGACATAATTGATGGATTTGTTTCATTTATTTATGTATAATAGAGACAAAGTTATTTAACAATTAAACACAGTTAAAACAAAATTAAGTTTTTTTTTTCTTTTTTAACTATTACAGTGAATATTAGAAATCGTATTTTGTGTTTAAAAAGAAAACCTTTATTGTATACAATTTTTTATCCATATCCTGAATACCTTTTCTTAAGAGTTCTTCTAAAAATTCGGAATATGAAAACGTTTCTTCAGTTTTATTTTTATTTCTTAAATAATAATTATAAATAAATCTACTGTTATCCAACACAATATAGTCAATAAGTTTATAATTTTTGATTATCTTATTCAGTTCACAATTTTTAATAAAGTAGATAGAGGAGGCTTCATTATAAATCGATTTTAAATATACATCTTTATTTACATTTTTTACTTTCTCTACCAATCTAACAAATTTTATTAATTCTTCTAAAATAAACGGATTGGATTGGTTGATATTTAACAAATTCTTAGGGTATTTATTGCATTGATAAATTTATTTATAATTTGTTCGGCTTTCTTAACACTTGATATCAATATCTCCACACAATGAGATGAATCTTTATTTGTAAAATATTTGATATGTCTACATTCAAAAATCATTTGTTTTATGTGATCAACGATCCATGCAAAATTTATGGCGTACTCGTTATTAATAAGCAATATTGTATCATATATTTTTTTATAAACATTATTTATATCGACGATGTTTAAATTATCACTTTCATCAATTAATAGTTCCCATGCTATCAAATCATCCTTATCATTTTTTGTATAGTCATGCACGAAGTTCTTAGTAAGCTCCCAGTTGCTCGATTTTAGAAATGAATTTAAAAATTTAATTGCATTCTCTTTGTCGCATTCATCTTGTCCATTCGTTGCGTTGACTACCAAGATAAATATAAAGATGTTATAAATCATTATAATTAAGTGATTTAATACGTAATTATTGAAAAATACAGTTATTACTTAAAAATACGTATAGCATGCAATTAAGTTTAATTAAAAAATAATATATTTTCTTCCAATTTCAAAATTAACAAGTTTATTATGTGATGGCGTACTACGTAATGTAAAATAAACACGTCACAAATTTTTTATGCGTATTCAATTGTTATTAACAGTGTGTTTATTTCACTTATAATAAATTTACCTACCTTGAAATATAATATTTTTTCGATTTTATTTCGATAATATCGTATTTGTTACGATTACGATTTGTATAAACGTCTAAGGGTTAATTTTTTGTGAAAAAGTTGTTAATTTGAATCCCCCCTGTGGGCAGGTAAAGTGTCAGATTTATAAAAAAAAAATATACAAAATAATAGGTAACTATCCTCGCATAAAAATTCTATTGATTTGGTGGTTTTTAAAGAAGTTATGGCAGTTTTAAGTAATAAAACAATGAAAAAAGTCGAAAATTACCGATTTTTAAATTTGTAATTTTTTTGGAGATATCTCCCATTAACGGGGAACGAGAGAAATTTGATTGAATATTATTTATTATTATCCATTTTGAATTTTTTTTCCACCTCAAAAAAGACTTAAGAAAAAAAATGAAAAAAAGTTATTTTGGCTACCGGGGTTTGTAATTGGTACCCCTAACTTATATGGCTGTATAGTATACATACAATACTATTTATTGTAATTATTTATATTATGATGGATATAAATAAGTAGATAAAAAAAACCATTTAAACAAATTCAAAAATTTAAAGTAGCTTTTCTACTTTTGAGGAGGTAAAATAAGTTTAAATTTATATTGAATCTATGTTAAATTCATGTAAATTTTATAAAAATTGATGGAATCATTACTATAACAAACCCTTGTATAGGTATTTTAAAATAAATAAATAAAAAAAAAAATTGAACACAAAAATAGCAAGTTTTTTAACTACGGTTATGAGTATTTTCAAAGGTTCAGTTGAAAAAGTTAATTTTTCAGTTGAAAAAGTTGTCATTTTGAATCTCCCCTGTGGGCAGGTAAAAGGTCAGATTTTAAAAACAATATACCAAAAGATAGGTACAGACATCGTGCATTTATATATAAAAAAAATCGAAGCACAGTTGGGTGGCGGCATAGTTGGGTCCAGTATAGATGATATCTGACAGTAATTAAAATAACTATCATAAAACGCTTCGATGCAAATCTGGAGATAGTGTTTAATTTAAAAAAAAAAAATTTTTTAACATAGCATATTTTTGAATACGGTAGCCATTTGCGCATAGATGATAAGATGTCGGAAAATTTTTTTTTTTTTCATTTGATAGTATATAACATAACCTTTGATTTGATATATGTTTAAAGGACGCAGTATTCCTGGAACATTTTCAAAAGCTCAGTTGAAAAAAATTGATGTTTTTTACAATATTTCAAGTTTTGAACGCCCTCTATATAAGGGGAATTTGTTCAATTTTAATAAAAAGTATGTCAAATGAAAGATGTACTTATAATGTATTTAGAAAAAAAAATTTGTGCTGATATATACATTTTACAAAAAGTTATAGCATTTTTAAGTTGAAAATTTAAAATCAAAAATTGAAAATTTTAACAAAAAATAGTGTTTTTTTAACTACGGCAGCCGTTTAAATGTAGAAGATAAAGTGTCGGGACAAATTTTTTTTTTCACTTTATAGTACATAAAATAAGCTTTAATTTGATATATGTTTGAAAGACGCAGTATTTCCGGAACATTTTCAAAAATTAAGTTGAAAAAGTTAATTTTTGTAAAAAAGTTACTATTTTAAATCCCTCCCAATGAGCAGGTTAAGTGATAGATTTTCAAAAAAATGATATCAAATGAAAATTAAATATCAAAGGTTTTAGTATAAAAAAAAATTATGTTGATTTGTTGATTTTTCAAAAAGTTATGGAAGTTTTAAGAAAAAAAAGTGAAAAAATTTCGAAAATTACCGATTTTTAAATTTGTATTTTTTTTGGATATTTCCCCCATTTTCGGGGAACGAGGGAATTTTTTTCAATTTTTAAGGGTAATGTCTCCAACTAGATACGATTTGTGATCTTTTGACGTATTTTTGAAAGAAATCGGTCCAGTGAGAGCTGAGAAAAAGTGGCAACAGACATAAAAAAAAAAAAACACATCATAGTAAAATTAATACCTTCTCAGCTTCGTATTGAAGATATTATCTTATAATAAATATAATAAAAATTGATCACTTGTGACTAATTAATTAAGTAAAATTAAAACTATATTAAAAATATATTAACTTACATAACTATTTGCTATATTATTTGTGTGCAAGAAAGATACATACGAATACTATCATAATTGTTTGAAAAAACTATTTAGCTTATTCAACGAATGCAAAAAATGCTTAAAGGATAATACAATACTATAATTAATTATTACTACTTTAATTTGATTATTGATATGGAGTATTTATTTCAGTTCTGAATCGAGGTTTTATAACATTTTTGAAGGGTTACATGTTTTCTCGGTTTATTGAAGAACAATCATTTTTTTTTCAAAAAAAAATTAAGCATTATTCATGATAATTTTAAAGAAATCGGTTTGGTAAGTGCTGAGAAAAAGTGATAACATGCGTAAAAAAAACCCAGCACAGGGGGGTCGCGGCACAGTGGTGACGTGGCATAGATGGATCAAGTATAATGATATCTGACAGTGANTTTATTAGTTTCTTCTTGTTTAATATTTTTTTTGATGTATCAATCATAAAAAACCCAGCACAGCGGAGTCGCGGCACAGTGGTGACATGGCATAGTTCGATCAAGTATAATGATATCTGACAGTGATTAAAATCACTATAAAAAAAAAACGCTTCGATGCAAATCTTTAGACTGTGTTTAATTTTTAAAAATTTGTGTATTATTCCAAAAGCTTCATAAACTGCTAGTTCATTATTAATATCTTAATTAAGATAAAGTATGTCGAATGAAAAAGGGATTATTAAAAAATATTATTTCTCATAAAAAAATAATGTTGATCCATACACTTTTCAATATGTCATAGCATTATAANTATCCATACACTTTTCAATATTTCATAGCATTATAAAGTTAAAAAAAACCCAGCACAGGGGGGTCGCGGCACAGTGGTGACGTGGCATAGTTGGATCAAGTATAATGATATCTGATAGTGATTAAAATCACTATCAAAAATAAACGCTTCGATGCAAATCTTTAGATAGTGTTTAATTTTAAAAAAATTGGTGTTTTATTCCAAAAGCTACTTGATCTGCTGGTTCCTTATTAATATCTCGATTAAGATAAAGTATGTCGAATGAAAAAGGGTTTATTAAAAAATATTATTTCTCATAAAAAAATTGTGTGGATCCATAAACTTTTCAATAAGTTATAGCATTA